CGCGCCTAGGACCGCCACCCACTTGACAGAGTATATAAGGGACCCAGGGCAGCCGCAGATCTTCTCCCAATTGACGTTCACGCCCACGCGGATCGCCCCGACCGGCGTCCCGCCAGAGGCGATAACCTTCTTGACCTGCCCAGCCATGCTCTTGTAAGCCTTGGGGCTGCAGGCCGGGTGGGACGTCGCAAGTGCGGGCGCAGCGAGGGGCTGAGGGGATTGGCGCCGCGGGGCCGGCAGGGTCGCCGCGCCGCCCGGGGGCACGCGGCCGAGCAGGAGGGGGCCGCCTGCGCCCCGAGCGCGTGCCAAGCGGCCCCCGGGCCCGGTCAAAGCCGTGGCGGCGCCTGCATCTCTCTGTGCAGCTGCCTACACGTGAAAAAGCCTCCGCCGCCTCGACAGTGGCCACGGCTGCATTCTCGACGCACACCATCCCACCGATCCCGCCCGATGCGGATCCTTCGCCCGCGGCCTCGGCCCCCGCCCCTGCACCCCGCCGTGCCCGCCCCTGGCCCGCCCCTCTTACTAGTAGAAGAGGGTGGCCCCCATCTCCGCCTGCATCGAGAACAGCACCGTCCTCTTCTTGAAGTTGGCCTTCCTGATTGCCAGGGCGGTGGGCTTCACCAGGGCCTCCCAGTATGACAGGGCGCCGTACCTTTTCAGGGTAGGCGGGCGCGGCGGCGAGCGTTGAGGGTCCCGGGGCGGCGTTTGCGAGTGAGTTGGCCCGCACGAGCATGGGGTGGTGGGTGACGGCTGCAGGTCAGGGCCACCCATGGCTCGCCTTGCCCCGCTCCCTTGGAATGCAGGCCACCTTGGTCTCGGTTTAAAAATAGGGTTTTGGCAGGGTGGGGGTTCGACACCCGATCGCAGCGGGCGGCGCTTGCGGCGCGGGCGGCGCGGCCCGCGAGCGAGCGCGCGGCCGCAGCGGCGGCAGCGAAACGCTGCTCATGGGCCCGCTCTCACTTTTTGCTGGGGTCGAAGATTATGGAGTTGCGCCAGGTGCCGCGGCCCTCGCCGTCATCCAGGTGGATGTGCGTGGCGACGTAGAAATTGTTGGCCACTGCCACCTTCATGCAGCGCTGTCGGTCGAATTGGTGGGACGCGCCGGCGCAAGGCACGTTCGGGTTGGCTGCCGCGCCTCTACCGTGGAAGCAAAGGACGGACGCAACAAAAAGCATCTGCACAGCTTGACAACATGCACACCCGCGCTCAGGCTTGCACTCACACACGCTCACACACACGCTGCAGGCACAAACATGCGCACGCACAGGCAGCGACCGTAGGAGCGGGCACGCGTGCACCCACGCACGACCAAAACACGCAAGTGCACCCGCTGCGCGCAGCCAGCGCGCCCCCGCACCTCCAGGCCGCCTGCAAAGCGGTAGGCCGCAAACCAGTTGTAATCCTTGAACCCGCGGTCAAACGCTGACTCCACGTAACCCAGCCGAGTGACGCGGCTTTTACCGTCGGTTTGGTAGTACCTGGGAGCGCGAGCAAGGGCCCCGGGCGCCGCGGAGCGCGCGCAAGAGCGTCAGAGAGGGCTGAGAGGTGGGTGAGGCGGGAGAGGCCGACCCACAGCGCACGGCGTGCGCGTGCTCAATGGTGCAGGGGTGAGGCGCCGCTGTGGGGAGCCCGGCAGGTGTGGAGCAGGGTGATGCAATGCATCCAGTCTGTGCGCCTGAGGGTCAAGGCGCGGCGGATGCGGGCAACATGTAACTTCCGTTGGGCCGGGGGCGGTCCCTCACCCCGTGACAAAAAAGTTAATGGCGCGGCCGCCGATTGCCATGGCGCGCTTGGTCATCTGCACGCAGGGACTGTTGTCGCCACCATCTACATCGCTCATGTATAAAAGGACCACCGAAGTGTCGATTGGGATCGCCGCACGAGCCGCCGGCATGAGCGCCGCAGCGCAAGCCAACAGCATGAACATCCCGCCCAATGGAGGTCGCCAGAGGGCCACCATCCTGCTTTGATTGACAGTGTCATGCATTTGGCGAAAAAATTTTGACTGCAGTATCGTGTCAAAGAGGGAATTCACGGGCCCAGGGGTGAGCTCCGTTGATCGGTTTGCCGAACGGGTGACGAGGGCCTGCAACGTCACGAATGGCTTCCCGTACCCGGCAAGTACCCCATACACCATCCAAAAGGGGCCCAGTGGGTGCACATTACTTCAGCGGGGTGACAACGCCCTCACCTCTTTGGCACGACTCTATCAAGCGACTGCACCGTCGCGATAGCAATACGCTATGATTTAAAGCTTCGAGACCACGGTGGAGGCGACAAAGGCAACACAGGACGGAGGTTGCTGGCTTGCTCCTTAGTGCCCCTCGCTACCAAACGGGCCGTTCAGTCGCTATGTTACGAACTCAAAACGATGTTGCAAGTCTGGCTTCAGGCTGAACGACCTGGAAAAATGGGGAGCCGCCGGGCTTCCGTTCCAAGCAGGTTGGTTTGGCGAGCTTTCACGCCGATGCGACCGTAATTAAGGGGAAAACAGCGTCAAGGTATCGCATACATTGGCGCTCGCTGCCTCACATGAGCAAGAAATGACTCGTCGCTTGATGCTGTCAGAGTGTGCATGAGAGCACTGCCACGTGGTGGTCCTGAGGGCTGGCAGGCCCTATTGCCATCCTTGCGTGCCCGTGAGAGTTTACATATGATGTTTACGCATGAGTTTGGTGGAACAGGTACGGGCAGGGATACCCGACTCAATTCGAGTACAGTACTCTGCTGCTTGCGCCACACTTGCCACTGATCCCAGTGGTAAGGTGACGGCCGACTATAACTACGATGGCGGTTCAGGTACAACTTGCTTATGCTTGCACATATTGAATACAGAATGGAGATATACCACAACTGTGTTGGATTACATACATGCAAGGATACCGTACTGTACCTCAATTGCCTTGCAGTCATTCTGAGTCGCGCTGGGCCGTCACCACATCACAGGGGCATCGGGTGTGCGGTAGCAAGCGTGCGGCAAGCAGCAGAGTGCAAATCAGCAAGCAGGGATACCTGCCCATAAATATTCCACCCGGACTCGTATGACAGTAGATGCGCACCTCTTGTGGCAAGTTTGCTGCACTGCCAACGACTGGGTGGTGATACATGCTTGCCGACCACGGACATTGTGCAAATCTGGGTGGGCGCCTACAGACCCTCCTTGGAGTCCCAGCGCGAGAACAAACCTGTCAGGGCGCGGGAAGCATCGTGTATATTGGCTATCTCTTGTGGGGTTTGGGTCTGCAGCGGGGTTTTGCAGGCGACCACGAGCAAGTTGTTGCTTGCAATGTCCATGGGCTTTTGCGCATAACAGAGCGGACTGCAGAGCAGGTTCCAGGTGTTGAGACACGTCCACTTGTGGAACGGCAGCGCGGTTGCCATCAGCACCTAGGACGGACCCCGCGACAAACACAATTCACAACGCGTTGCGCCGCAGAGTCGAATTTGGCAACAAACACACCTTGAGCTCTGGCACTGTCTGCAACCTGCGAGATCAGTCAATTTATCGGATGTCGAGCTGCAGCTGCTCCAGAACCAGGCATGGCGCCAACACACAACTTCATGTGTGCATTGCGTGTGCAGCGGCGGCGGGCTCGGCCACATCGCTGCATTGCAGCCCGTGCTGCAGTTCGCAGTCGGGAACGTTACATTGACTGTTTTACATGGTGTCAGCTCCTGTCGAGCGTCTTGGAACAGACCAGATATAGCAAGCCCATGTTTAAGCGCTGCTGTTGAGGCCCGGCCGCGCTCGCTGCACCCCCCTTTCTGTGATGAAGGCGTCCGCATCTCATGCGGCGCCTGAGCCACTTTTTGCTTGGGCCAGTGCAGCGCGTGCCGCCCGACGCTCACAAGTTTTGCAGGACGGGAAGCTGAGAGGGCGGATGGCGAGCCGGGGCGCTCCACCGCAGCTGCACCAGATTCACAGCACACAGAGTCGACTAGAGGCGCAATAATAGCGTGCATGGTCAGCTGGGCTTGGCCTGACCCAAGATTTGACTGGTTTCCAGTCACCACCGTGGGCGGCAGCTGTGCGGCAGCCAGACATGGTCCATGAGTCCATGCACAATCCGCACGTTGGCAGAAGTCGTCAATTTCAAAATGATGGTGGTTACAAATCGGTTGCATAGTAATAATAACGGGCAGCACATCCATCGCTGCGCTTGTCGACATAGAGGATGGTCACACGGTGATTGGGGCCAATAGAGAGTCAAGGAGCGCGTGATCATGCATAAAATATAGATTTTAGGCTTAATAATTGGGGGTGCTCAGCTCCTTCGCCGCGAGGTGGGCTGCGTTCTGTCCCCTCATGATCCCCAATCGGCCGATGATGCCGAGTTGGTAAGGTCATGGTCAATCGCTTTTGCATGCATGCTACGACGGTGTATATTAATGATGGAAACAGGAGCAAAGCGTGAAGGTGGACAGCTGCTCCGGGGGTGCGGGCGGCATGGCCCTGGGTGGCCCATGGCACTCCGCCGTCGTTTGTTACTGTGCCACAGATGGGCATCGCTCTGAGCATCCTGAGCGCCCATAAATTGAAGGATGATGTTAAAAAGGGCTGCGTCGACCTAGAACAGGTGCGAGGCTGGGGGAAGGTTCACGCTGACAAGGCTAGTGCAATGCCCTTGGCAGGGGTCCCGCGTGGGGTGCGCCCCTTTCTATGGCAAACGCATTCCCTGAGCCCTCTCTCGAAACCCGTTGCGCCACGGCGGCGCAGCTCGAGCGCGAGTGCGCAAAGCAGCCCCAGCTGCTGCGCACGCGCGGCCTGCTGGCCTTCCACAAGCGCCTGCTGCACGCGGCCGCCAAGGCTGCCAACGAGCCCGCGCTGTGCTGCCTCCTGCGCTGTGCCGAGGACGCCGCGCGCGCCGCCGCCGTCGACGGCGGCGGCGGCGCGCTGCCCAGCAGCGTCCGCGCCGCTGTCGACGCGCGCAACGCGTGCGGTCAGACGCCGCTGATGCTCGCGGCCATCCACCCTGGGGGCGCCACGTGCGTGCGGCTGCTGCTAGGCGCCGGCGCAGACCCCTGGGCAGCGGACTCACGCGGCGGCCGCACGGCGCTGTTCTACGCCGCCTGCGCAGACGCGGCCGACAGCGCCGCCGCGCTGCTAGACGCCACCCAGGGGGCGTTTGCGCCGTGCCCCTCGTCCCCCAACGGCCCCGCGACCCGCTACGTTGACGTGCGCATGCGCGCCGGCTTCACGGCGCTGCACGTTGCGGTGGATGCCGACGCGCGCGGTGCGCTGCGTGAGCTGCTGCGCGCGGCGCCAGCGCTTTGTGTGCGCACGCTTGTTGGCTCGTACGGGTGCATCGCCTGCACGCGCGGCACCTGCCCAATGCACCTGGCTGCGCGGTTGGGGCACACCGAGGCCGCCAAGATGCTGCTTCTGGCTCACGTGAGCGCTGGGGCCAGGCAGGGAGTGAGGGGGCGCGCGCATGTGGCGGCCATGCATGCAGCGCGTCTTGTTGCTGGAGCAGGGGGCGCCTGCCTGTTTGAGGGCTGCCTGTGTCGGCTGTCGTCGTACGGCATGCGGCGCCCCAGCCAGCGTGCCTGCACCACTTATTGGCTGAAATCTCGTTTCCTTCCTACCTTCAACCAAAAATCAAGAGTGCTTGCAGACACACGCACACCCAATACAAGCGCACTGCGCTCTCTCCTTTTGCACAGGTCAGCACCCCAGCCGCGTCCCGCTCCCCTGACCCTCGCGCCCTCCGGGACGGCTTTGGGCACCTGCCCTGCCACCTGGCGGCCCTCAGCGCACACCACGACCTCGCACACCTGCTGCACCCGCGCCTGCCGCTCTCGAGCGCACTGGGCGGCGCCTCCAGCCTGTACTCAAACGGAGCCCCGTCCCTCAAGCTGCTGGCCGCGGCAGCGTTGCGCGGACGGCAGCGAAAGACGCTCGCGGCTGCGCAGGCCGCGCTGGGCCTTGCCAGCGGCGGTGGCGGCGACGCTCCCAACGGCACAGCGGCGGCAGTCGCGTGCTGCAAGGTGGGAGTGGGCGCGGCGGCGGCTGGCGGCCACCGCGTGCGCGCGGCATGCGCGGTCGACGTGGCGGCGTGCGAGGCAGCCTCACCGGACGCAGGCGCCGGTGCGCCACTGCTCGGCAAGGACGTCAGCTTTGTTTTGGGCCCCACCCCGGCGCGCAGCCGCGCTGCTGCGGCGCCGGGCAGCAGCGGGGAGGCGGTGCTGGGGCCGCCCCAACGCGAAGCTGCCCCCACAGACAGGGGTGGCTGCTCTAACGAGCGCGACGGCGAGGACAGTTGCTGCGGCGTCTGCCTGGATGCGCCGCCTGGTATCCGCCTGAAGCCCTGCGGACACGCCATGTGCTCTGCATGCTGCTCCGGCCTGTTCAGTATGCAGCACGCGGAGGTCGTGGCCTGCCCCTTCTGCCGCAGCGTGATTGGGTGCTTCAGCCCTGCATGCTGCTAACGAGGGGGCCTGGGCCTCTTGCACCAGCCCAGTTTATGTGCTGGCGCTTGCGCGTCACCCTGGCCCTGCTGTGGCACTGCATTGCGTCTGGCTGCCCGCAGCAGGCTGAGAGCGCGCCCTGTGGGCTTGGGTGCATGACCCCTTCCGCCGCACCATGCGCCTACTCTCGTCATCAATTGCAGTTTACGGGCTCGGCTTTCCACAAGCGTTTTGAGGGCGGCTCTGTTGCAGCACAAGCTCATAGCGCGAGGCGCGCCCTGCTCATGGTGTCAGGCCACGCCGTCCACTCCAACACCTGGCAAGCACGCCCGGCCCGTTTTCCCCTTCGCCGCCGTCTTTTGTGGCTTTTTGCCTGCCACACTACCGTCCTCCGTACCCAATGCATGGCCCACCTAGAGCGCTGCGCCAGTGCCAGGCGGGCCCGCTGAATATAGAACTTCGTCTGAGCGCGCCGTTGACCATCAGTCCTGAACCACATCGGTCAGTCCTGCACAACCAGCACACATCTGACAATTACTGGCCACGTTGCTGCGACACTCGCAGCGCGTCTGCTGTGCGCCTACATTGCTTAATACCTCCATCCCGCACTGCCATAATGTGTCTTGGCAACCGCAAGCCCGCCATGACTGCCTTGTAGTACCCCCTTTGGCCCGCTGCTGGCCGGCTTCATAAGAGCATTTTTTGAGCGATCGCCAATGCCCGGAGGAGGCATCGCCGCAAACAAACCCCTTGTGCCCCTAGTTTAACAGTTGTCACGTGTGACGAGCGCGCCGCCCCATTGCGCAGAGCATGCAACGCCACGGCTTGCATCACCTCTGCCTGCACTGCTCGCTTGCACCCTGCACCTCTCAACGCCTTCTCCGCCAGCGCAAGCTGCTGCGGGTCACGGCTGCTGTGTGTGCCGCAAGACTAGCTAGCCTCGCTGCAGGCTGCCAAATGGCTCCCGTTTTGCCACACCCACGTTTCTGCAGCTGCCACATCGCTGCTGAGTCGCCAGGTTTCCACGCCCACCCCGCCATGAGGCGCCATCGTTCTCATTTATTTCGCTTGCAGATTTGCTTGCGCTCAACTCTGCGAGTGCGTGCGCAATGCTTTTTCTCAGTTCTGCACGGCCTCCCCGTGCCCCTCTGTCTTTGCAGCCAGCGCCTGCGTTTCTAGCCACTGTGATCTCAGCTCAAGCTGCCGTCTGTGATGCTTAATAACCCTCACCCCTGATGCAGGCGCACGACACCTTTCGCACATCGTGTATCGGCTTGTAACGATTTGATGCTTCCTCCCTGTCGTTGCTGCGCAGCGGCGCAGAGCTGGCAACAGGCAGCAAGCCACAAGTCTTGGCAGCAATATTCATGCTGCTGTTCTTCGGCAGCATGCCAGGGTGCATCACGGTACAGCATGGGCGGCCAGTGCACATGGGCGAACACACGTCCATGTTTCCCACTCTGTGAACATAACTGAAGTTAGCAATCAGCCGGGCCCCCCACCCCGTTACACCCGCCGTCACACCCGAAATCACTCCGCATCAACACCACAACTCTGTCCATGTGACCCGACATACACCTGTATCTGCGGATCTCCAGCCGCTGATTACACTAGTCGCGGCAGCAGTTGAGCGTCTCCCAAAACTTGCAGCAGTGAAGCCGTCAGCCGGCATGAACGGGCCCGGTTATTGTGGCAGGGGCAGGGCGTTTGGGGCAGTTTCAAGGGGATGGCTGCTGACAGCAGAGAGAGCATAGGCCAGGTGAGGGCTCACAAGAAGCATACAATGCTGGTGCAGGCAGGACAAGGTTGACCGCAAGGTGGCACGCCAACATGCAGCGCAGCACACAGCATCATCGATGGCGCATCAAAGCAGTGCCGTGTAAAGGGGCCGTGTCCTAGAGTCTGCAGCTGAGGGTCATCAGGCAACCTGATCACCATTGTTTGTCTGTTTGGACGGGTTGGCGGGCGCTCAACAGCGACACACGCCACCAATTTTGAACCTGCAGCCGGGCGCTGCAAACCTCAAGGGGTGCAGTTGCCCAGCGCTCTCGAAAGCACATGCAGGGAAGGGCACGCAAAGGTGCAGAATCTGCCGTGCTCAGGGCGACGTCACGACAGCAAATTCGAAGGCTGCATCCCTGCAGCATCAGAAGCCAAGAACTTCGCAGACAACATTCATAGGCCAATCTCATGAGAGCGAAACAGCATTCTGAGCCAACGATCTCAGGTTTTTGGCAATAGCAGGGCTGAGCGACCTCAGGCCATCGCGAGCCCCGCGGCGCCGTTGACAGGCGCCACCCCCAACGCGCTCTGCTGCTTGCTGGGCGCGCCATCCGCCTCGCGTCCGCCCACATTGACGACCGCGTCCTCTTGGGGGGCAGCCGCAGCGCCAGCAGCAGCGGCAGGAGCAGCAGGAGCTGCAGCGCACTCAGTGCCAGGCGCCGCGCCGACCTCTGCTGCGGGCGCCTCGGGCGGCGGCCCCGGCTGCTGCGAGGCGGCGCGCTGCCGCGCCGCCTCCTCAACCATCGCCCGCCCGCCCTCCACGGGCCGCGGCTCGGCAGTCCCGCCCAGGGATGGCGGGAGCAGCTGCGGTTGCGGGGTCGGGGCCCAGGGGAGTGGGGCGTGTACGGTCGGCAGCGGGAGGGGTTGCATGAAGCGCCCATTCCTGGCTACTGAGCACCCACAGCAGCTGCACCCACAAGAAAGGCCATCCAAAAGGTGGCTCGCAACCTGCCACAACAGCCCCGCCCCCTCCACCCCAGGCATCAAAGCAAGCAGGGCCACCGCCCAACATCAAGGGCGTCATAGCGGCGCACCCCGCAACCCCCAAATCTCCAAACTTTTGAGAGGGCCATGACGCGGCGCCCGAGGGTGCAGCGGCCCCCCCAAAACACCGCGCAGCGTGGGCGTGAGCACAGGTGCGGGCCTTAAATCCACTGCGCTGCGCGGCGCTCACGTGCAGCCCGATGTCTGCGTCCAGTATGGCGGCCGCCTCCGCCGCGTCGTGCGGCAGGAAGACCACCTTCTGGCGCGTCACGGGGTCGACAAAGGGGTAGACCAGGCGGTACAGCTGGCGCAGGACGGCGCTGGCGTTGTAAAAGTAGAAGACGGCCAGGCGCTCCACGTAGTGGGCCTTGTTTTAGGCAATTTGTGTGTGGGGGAAAAGGGGGAGGGGGCGTAATGGGGTGCATGTGGTGAGGCCGGGTTGCGTGGTGCAGGGCCGGAGCCTGAATGGTACGGGCCAGGTGGGGCAGAGACAGCACGCGCGCGCGCGCCAGCCCGCCTGCAGCGTGCCACCGCTGCACCGCGCGGGTCCATCCCGACGCGTCTGCCCCTGCCCAAAGCTGCCCTGCAGCCGTCCCGCGCCCCGCCTCGGTGGCCACCACTGAAAGCCGTCACAAGCCTCTCAACCCCTCAGCCCGCTGGCGCCTTGAGGCCGGACAGCCAGTGACACCCCTGCGGGCCCCCGCCGCCCGCCCACGTGGATCATCTTGAAGAGCGTCTTGGCGCCGGTGACGTCGAAGTTCTTCCACCTGCGGTGCAGTACGCACAAATCTAAGCGACCAGGGCACTGCCCCCAACAAGTGCACTCCAGTGGCGCCTGCGTAAGGACCCTGGAGCTGCAAGCCCTCCAGCCCACCAATTGCGTGGCGTTGAGCCTGCCCAGCAGCACGCTTCAAGCAGCCGCGCGCTTCGCCCCAGACCCGGCGCCTGCGTCGGAAAGCGAAAGCGCCGGGTGATCTGCCAGCGCGCGGCCGGCACGCCCATGCGCACCCAAAGTCCCCGACGTCGAACAAGAAGATTATGCGGCCCTCAGGGTTGAGCTCGGGGTCGGCCAGCGCGATGGCGTTGTCGGTGCTGTAGCAGAAGAAGCGCTGCACCTCGGACTGGTCCGGGCTGTTGTGGTTTGGGTGTGAGTGTGCGTATGTGTGGCGTGTGTTGTGCGTGCGAGCGAGGGGGTTTGGGCGGATGCGTGTGTGCTTGAGTGGGTCCATGTGTGTGCGCGTGTGTGCGCGTGTGTGTGTATGTGAAACCAGTCAGGGGCTGAGCATGGGGCGGTCTGAAAAATGAGGGGCCAGCGAGGAAGGCGCGTCGAGTTGGGAGGGGCAGGAAGCAGCCCCGGGAGCGCTGCCCGGCGGCCAACGCGAAACATCACTGGGCCCCGCCGCCACGCGCGCCGCCCGCCCCATGTCCCAGCCGCCCCCGGCCCGAAGCCCTCCCCCGCGCCGCCGGCTGCGCCCGCGCGCGCGGCTCACTTGGGCGCGTGGTTGCCGCCGATAAAGACGACCACGCCGCGGCCGCGGCGGTCGAGGCCCTGCAGGAGCACCTTTCTCTGGGCGAGCTCGTTCCTAACCTCGGAATCCGCCACCCGTCCATCCGGCATCGTTTCCGCGCGCCACGCCGCGTGCGCGGCGAGGTCGCGCGCGGCGCGGGCGGGGTCCCAGCCGCGCGCGGCGAGCCACCTGCGGCGGGCGCGAGGGGCGCGGGCGGATGGTCGGCGATGGAGCAGGCACGAGTTGGTGCCATACCGGCGAATCGTATGGCCTGGGGCGAGGACGCACCTCTTCAGCTGCCTGTCTGTGACAGGTTCCTCGCCGCCGACGCGCAGCAGGTTGGAAACTGTGTCGACGCCGCCATGGTGCTGGTCTATCTCTGCGCGGGCACCAGCAAGCAGCGCCTCGAGCGCGGCTTCGTCCGCAGGCGCCCCGCCGTGGCCTTGGTGCAGGTGAGGTGTGTGCGAGGACACGGTGGAGCTAAGGCTGACAAGCGACTCGGAGAGGCTGCTGAGAAGGCCCATCTTGGGTCTAGTTTGCGTCGCCCCTAGAGATTGTCTACAGGGACAGTTGCCAAGCTGAGCCAGTATAGTAGTGGAGGCTCAGAGCAACTTATTGCTCAAGTCGCTGCGAAACAGTAAGCCCGGTGTCTGGTGCCGAGTGACGGAGAGGTGCGCTACAGCACTATCCCTGTGCTATACGTTTACGTGGTTTGCACTCAGCTGTAAAATAAACTATCTTGCGGTTGCAGCGTGTTGCAGTGAATGGCCAGCACCGCTAGCGCGCCAGTATCTTCAGCGCAGGCGGTGTGCAAGAGCCCATGTGCAACGCTGCTTTTGGCTTGTGCCTCACCAAAGTGATGTGCCTACAACCGCGACCAAAGACGCCTTTGCGTGCGTGCGTGTGTGTGTGTGTGTGTGTGTGTCTGTATGAGCGCGCAGAGCAAGGTCTGCTGCGGCCTCAACACAGCTAGCACCCGTCGCTGTGTCGCTGCCATCGGCTATTGTTGTGCCCTTTGCTTGTGTGTGAGCATGAGGGAGGAACCAGGGCGGAGGGCAGAAACGGCCCAAGGAACCGTAACAAGGCGGGCGGCATTGAACCGCCGGCGGCTTGCGAGCGGGATCCAGGTCCAGGATCGCCACGCCTGCGGGGACAGTGCAATGCGAATGCGGGTGATTTGCTCGTCATCTCACATGCGCCATGGTGGGTCAAGTGGGGGCCGCGCAGCCGCCAGGTGAAAGGATCAAGGGTTGGATGAAAAGCTCCACAACAGGCCACCCCATACAAAGCAGTCAGCCACGCAGGATGAAACCAGAAAAGAGGCGTCAGTCGTTGCAGTAGTAGTCAGCAGGTATTCAGATGCAAATTACCCATTTGTTGCGAAAATCGTCATCCGCCTCGCCAAGACCGAACAGCAACAGCAGCCCAACAGCAGGTTTTACAGCTTGCAGGCACCACACCAGCTGTTTCAAAGCATTTTAACGAGCGCACTTCCGCGTTTGCGCACCCTTCGGAGTCGCAATAGCACACTGGCACCACCCTGGCAATCAGGCACATCCATGCCAATGACCTGCGAGAGGGGGGGTCGCATCAGGTGGCACGTGTTGCAGTGAGCACACGGCGGCTGGATCTGGGTCACGCTGCGGTAAGCCTGCAGCGGCCAGGGGCCCTTTTCTAGAACATGCGTTGGTGTCAAGTTAGCGTTTGCGATAAGAAGCACAGCGCGATTGTGGCCTCAGTGTTAAAAAGCTCGTTGTTTGGTTAAAATCCGTCATGCTTGCGCATTCGGCGTTGGATTTCCAAATACTCATCCTTGACCACAATGATTGACACAGCGCACACAGCCAGAGTCACAACCAGGCAGCAGAGCAGGCTGGTGCTGGCCAAGCCAAGAACTGCGCCGGACCCTAGCCGCACGTGTAATCACAGAAAGGCAAGATCAGGAGGCTATGAGCTCACATGTTATTTGCGTGGCGGCGATGCTGGCGGCCATGATCTAGCTCACTGGCTGATTCAATACGCCGCATGCAGCAGGTAAAAAACCATGAAAGTAACGACGTTCAATGTGTCGATGCGGGCCAACGTATTATGATAAGCTTGTGGTATGACGGCCGGTATTGGCCAACCCCTGGCAGGCTGTTGCCTTTGTGGCTGCTGGGCACCCGCGTGAGCATGACGCACGCCAGTGCGTTGGCAGAACATGCCCTGAGCACCTGCAACTGCCGGTAACCGACCCGCCCGCTCAATGCTGGTGATCGGCGCGCTTGTATGGGGTAAGACGGCAGCAGTAAAGTTGCCAGGGCGAAGAGGCCCGCGCTTGCATCCACAGCGCGGCCGTCCAACGGCCGCAGGGAGTCAGGAGCTGCGGTATGCGACTGCCTGGACCGCAACCCTCCGAAGCAAAAGGTGGTGCTCTTTCACCCCCTGTCAACATGCATACCGCACCATACAAGCTACCGTAGCGCACAAAACTGCCACAGCTGCAAGCGTGCATGCAAGTGAATGCACGCGCAACCCAGTGCCGTCTGCCCGCGTCACACGCACGCACGCACACACACACACACACACACACACACACACACACACACACACACACACACACACACACACACACACGTGCGCACACACACACACGCGCGAACACAAACACACCAACACAAACGTTCAGCGGCTGCAGAGCCATGCCTCAATGGCACCTGCGTTGCTTGATGCCCCTGCCCACATTCTGGTGCTGGAGGCCACAGGAATGTGAGGTGGTGCATGTACTGTACGTGTGATGCTTGGGTCGCGCTGACAGCGTGCAGGTCATGAGTACGCGGCAAGACGATTGCGGCAGTGCACCTTCCAAAAGTGCTGGCCAGCTTTATGTGCTGCTGACGAGTGCAGCCAGAACCTCCATCACTTACACCACAACTGCGGCTTCCCTGAGCTCTGATGCAGAGGACCGGCGCTGCCTGCACACATGCCTGCTGGTGGTGCTGGCACACCTCATGTCTGCTTGCACTACTGCAGGCCGCCTCACCTGCGGGCCGCCCCGCCTGCAAGGTCCTGTACAGGGCCACACGTGTCTTTGCTCAACTGCACCCTCACCCCCCCCCCATTGATCAGGTGCGCACAACTTCATGAGATTGTGGCCAGCAGCCCCCGCAATGTCAGGCCGTGCACGTGCATGCATCGCTTTGCCTGCTGCAGGTTGATGCAGCTCGGAGAGGCTCCTCCCAGGCAGCAATATGTACATCATTGCGAGCAGCAGCTGCAGGTGTTGCGGCCGACAAAGTGACTGAAGAGCGGGCCTGATGATGCTGATGATGCAGGCGTGACTGCTTGTGCTGCATTACTTGCTGTGTGAAAGAGTGGGAAGCCAAGGCAACCATCTGAGTGTGCAATTACAAGGTATGGGGCATGCAAAAGACGCCTGTGCGGCGCCTGGCCATGATGCAACGCGCGTCCGTTGACCGCAACAGCAGAATGCACATGACATAGTTGTAACTTTTCAATTTGCGCTCGACAACGCCCTTAATTACGACAATGCGGCGGCCGGCAAGGAGAGTTTCAGGGGTGACGCAGCGTCGGGGGGTGGGAGGGCGAAAAAGCTGCACCGTTGCACCCGGTTGCAGCAAAGAAATCCAGTCCATGGTCCCAGGCATGAGCAGCAGGCCAGGTGGGCAGTAGAGCATCCTACACACAGCTGTGCGACAAGCTGCCAGCCAGGCAGCAATGCGGGACAACACAGTGCTGTATGAACAACTTGCGGCACCTCGCAACCCAAAGGGGGCGTTGATGGCGGGGCCGCTATGGTGCCCCCAAGGGTCTCACCAGGGTGTCGTCGCCAGGACACCGCGCTTCGCAGACTTTGCAGACGAGCGTCTGCATCATCATGTTCAAAGTGAGAGCCAACGAGGGGCCCAAGGAATCCATGCTCGTTTCACTCAGAAGAAATGGGGGCAGGGATGGATGAGCAGCTGGGCTGCCAGAGGCGTGCTGGTGGACAAGTGCTCTGTGCAGTTTTTTGGTGAATCACAAAGCGATGAGAAATGTAGGCTCAGGCGGTCAGGCGGTCAGGGTGTCGTCTGGGTGCCAATGGTGACGCCCTGAGCGACGTTGCCCGCGTTGTCCACAGCGCACAACCGGAATGAATACGGAGTGCCGGCCTGGAGGCTCGAAAAAGAGACGCTTTGCAGCTGCACAGCAGCAGGGGCGGTGGGGGCGGCGACGGTGGTGGCGAGGCCGCCGCTCTGGGCCTTCTTAAGGATGGGGCCGGTGCAGCGCGCGGGTGCTGTGCCGCCCTGGCGGCCGACCACCACATATGACGCGACGCCGGACACATCATCAGTGGCGGCTTGCAGGAAGTCGATGACAACGCCAAAGCTACTGGGGGTGGCCTTGAGCGCCATGGCGGAGGGGAGCATGGAGGGCGCCACGTTGTCAAAAGTGATGGTGCTCGCGGCAGCAGGGAGGGAGGCGCCGAAGGTGTCCCAGAAGAAAACGCGGATGGTGCGGGCGCCCTGCGGCCAGATGCCAATGTTGAACTTTTTCACGGCGGCAAAGCCAGACCAGCCAGTGCAGCTTGAGGCGTCTGTGGCCGTCTGGCTGATGCACATCCGCGTTTTAGGCGTGGCTCCCAGGGCGATAATCTGGAGGGGCACGGTGCGCGCGTTGGTGTAGGCTGCGCCGCCGTTGACGATGAGTGAGCTGGAGCCAACAAAGGTCTGCAGGGTGATGGTGGCTGTGGCAGGGGTGGCCATGGTGTTGCCTGCTTTGTCCTTGAGAGTCACAAAAACCGCGCGCAAGCCGTCAGCGCCGCTAGCCAACTGCCAAGCCTTGGTCGTGGCGAAGGCCTCAAAGGCGGTGCAGGCTGCGGCGGTGTTGCTGATGCACATGGAAGCCACGCCGCTGGCGTCATTGCCGCTGATGGCCAGGGTCACGTCCAGTGAGGAGGTGGTGGCAGCGCCGCCATTGATGGTGACAGAGCCGGTGGGAGGTGTGGTGTCGGTGTTAGCGCCCACGCCACCGCCGCCGCTGGACAGGGCGGTAACGGCCGCGGCCAAGTCAATGCGTGCCGTGCTGACACCATTAAACGCGTCGGTGACGAGCTTGCCGGTGGACTGCAGCACGGCTAACATCTGGGCGACGGAGGCGGTGGGCACCGCGGCCTTGAGCACTGCAACGGCGCCGGACACGTGGGGCGTGGCCTGGCTGGTGCCGGCCATGGACCAGCCGCCGGCGTTGATGATGGCGCCGGGCGCCAGCAGCGTGAGGTAGGCGGCGCTGTTGCTGAAGCAGGCGACCTGGTCGGCGGCGGTGGAGGCGTCTGTGCAGACGCTCCAGGTGCGCGCGTTGACGTTGCTGTCGTAGACAGCCCCCACAGACACCGCGGACGGCGCGCAGGCCGGGCTGGCGATGGCGCCCTTCTTGCCGTCGTTGCCTGAAGCGACGGCGGGCACGATGCCGGCGCGGCGCGCAGTGGCGAAGGCGGACTCGTAGGCGCTGGTGGTGCAAGGGGTGGCGGAAAAGGTCGAGGACCCGAGGGAGAGGTTGATGGCGCAGACGTTGTACGTGCCGTTGTTCTTGACCTTGACGGCCCAGTCTATGGCGGCCAGGATGTCGCTGTCCCAAGCGTAGATGTTGCCGGCCGCATCACTCTCAAATACATCCTGTAGTTGGCGGTGCAGGTTGGATAGGGTACCAAGGGTTGGTCAGAGAGGGGGAGGCGTGCAGAGCAGTCGGCCGCGCACACAGCCAATGCTCATGGCGCTTCCACGCGTTCCGGTCACTGATTTGACCTGTGACAACAGCTATACATGGACTCTCTGTCGCTTTTTGCAGAAGATTATGAGGCAATTGCGCCTCAGCCGCTCACCAACGCCAGGACCTTGGCCCCAGGGGCGACGCGAGCCACGATGGCAGCCACATTGGTGCCATGCTGCGAGGGTGGGGGTCAGGACGGTGGGTTTGTTGAAGGAGTTGATAGCCGGAAAGGCATGTTAATAATTACACCTCTGGGGTAGAAAGTTGGGGCGGTGTGCGAGACAGGGTTCAGTCACCGCGTGCCCCAATCTGAAGGTCCGCGGCCGGAACCTGCGCGGAATGGATGCTCACCCCGTCACTGTCCAGCTGGCCGTCATCTACTTTGGTGAAGTCCCTGGCGTAGGCCACGCGGCACGGCTCAGGCGCGCCGGCGGTGGCGCAGGAGCCCAGGTCGGGGTGGGTGTAGTCGGCGCCGGTGTCGAGGACGGCCACATAGCAGCCGGCGCCCTTGCTGCCCGCGGCGACGGCGGCTGGCTGGTCGACAAGGGGCAGACTCTGCACCAAGGCACGGCTGTTGGGGCGGTTGGGCTCCACGCTCGCCACTGAGGGGTCGGCGCGCAGGGTCGCCAGGGCGGCGGCGCTGGGCAGCGCCACCACCGACACGGGCAGGTTTTGGAAGTCGCGCACAACGCTGGCGCCCTGCGCTGCCAGGGCGCCGCCCGGTGACATCACGCGCGCCTTGACGGTGCGCTGCACGCGCAGCAGTGCGGCGTCTGCGGGCGAGGAGGCGCCCGCGGCGGCGATGGTGGCGGCGGTCGCTGAGGCAGCAAGGGGGTTTGCGGCCTCAGCAGCCACGTCGTCTGCACTGACGCGGTAGGTGACGATCCACTGGGCCGCCTGGCCAGAGGCCATAGCCGCCAGGGCGGCAGCCTCGGGTTCCGCAGCAGCCACACGGGCGGCAGCCGCTGGAGCGGCCAGGGGCGTGGCTGCAGCAGGGGGGGCCGCGACGCTCCCGTCTTCGCTGACAACCCATCCGCCTGTGGTTTGGAAGGGTACACCGCGGCGAACTCAGTCTGTGGTTCAAATGTTTATAATGTGCTCATCACATCCATGATGGAAAGTGGCGGGAATCGCTCGCTGCCTCATCGCTGCCCAATGCGCATGCCGCTTATGATATCAGTTGGAGGCGTGCAGCATCCGAAGGTGGCTGAGGCTCACCGAGAGCGGGGCGAGCGGCGGCGGCGAGCAGCAGCAGCAAAACAACCAATGCGTTCTGCTGCTGCATGATCACAATTTTCAATGAGTTTTCCGCTGGTTCACTGGACCCAAGCCAGCGGGACTGATCTGATGCTGTTGAGAGTTGGCTGGCCCCAAACCGTCAGTGTCGCATAACAAACATTTAAGAGATAAGAGATGATGGTGGACGGAACCAAAACAATGCCCTGCTCCTCTGTGGCTGCAACAGTTAAATTCACGGGCGTTGGCCGGTTCGCAGCATGGTTCCCGACGTGACGTGCCGCTCAAAGGGCCTTTGTCGACGGTTTCATGACCACAATCAAAGATAGGTCTTGAGAAGTCGCGTTGATTGACGTGGCCGCCCGCAGCCAACGGCAACTGCGTGACCCCTGGCAGGGAGCTCACGCTTGGCTTCTGAGGCAACACCCCGCGCCTCCCGTGCCTGCGGTTCCGCCCTCCTTATCACCAAAAGATGTGGTTATACTGTTTCGTCACTTAATCATTGTGGAAGTGAACAGCCATGGTGCCACAGCACTGGATGCGCCTCTCTGCAAGGTGGCCGGAGCGGCCGGCGGCCACGTCACCGGGAGCACTACTCATCGGGTTTGGGTGGGCCGCGCCAACACGGCATTTTCCCCAGGGGTGCTTCTCATGCCATAGAATGTGCTGTTGTTACCCAAATTTGAGGAGCGTGCAATGGGAAGGAGGCGCCAGAGGTGGTTTCCCACAGCAGGGGACTGGCGTCTGCGAGGTCGGATCCAGCCACATCACCTGCGCCCAACACCTTGGGTCTCAGGACGTTTGAGCATTGATTGAAGCCTGTGCGTGCGCCTCAACAGCGCTTAGGATCTGCTCACCTCACAAGCGCTGCCCCACTTTGCCTCGGTGGGGGGCGGGGCGCGCCACATTCCAGGCAAACTGCCGTGCCGCCGTGGCACGGTGGCTGGCGCACTGAGCTTTGTTGCTGCTTCGACTCCTGCCCGTGCCTCCTAAAATTCACACTTGCTAAAGGGATTTTGAAAGACTCTGTGAGTGGCCCCCTTGTTGCGTTGCATGACGTCCGCGGTCAGCCAGCGTTGGTCGCCACCCAACTGTTGGCACAGCCACGCAACAGCAAACTCACCACCAGCTTTGTGCATCTATGTACCTCAGGATGGTCAGGCATGCACCGACCTCAGTCCTCGCCATATGAGCATCGGCGATACTCAAGCCAATCGGTGCGCGTGCACTCGACGCGACCGCCGCTTGCGTGAGTCACTCTGTGAGTGTGATGATCGGATTAGTAGCATTCCCGCCGAAGCGCCCGGCAGCCAGCTCAACTTCACCTGCGCGACTGCGCACGCGTATCATTTAACCTTGTCGGTGCGCTGAACAGTTTTTAACGCCGATTCAACCCTGAACACAAGTAAACGCAGGTAGGGACATGCAAGTGGGCAAGCCAAGCTGGGTCAACGCTGTGTCCGTGTGCGTGGTTGCTGCCGACATGGGTGCCCATGCAGAAGCATGAGCATACAGGTCAAGCAGGCAGGCATGTCACACACAAACTGGTGTGCGGCCATAAGTCACTGTCAGACTGTCGGTGTGTGACGCACATGACGTGCCCATGGAAGCACGGACGCATCCAAGCTGAGTGACTCGGGGGTCGACGCGAAACGAGCTCGCTGCCAAAGGCAGCTTGAATAGGTTTTATGACAGGGTGTACGTTAATGCTTGGCAGTCATACAGGCGG